AATAAACTTATCAGAATAGTTTGCTAGTGGGCCATCTAACCTGCAGACGGGCAGTTTCGCTAGACTGCGAGATCACCGTCGATATTATTACTGCGGAAGATTATATGTAAATCCCCAAAATACGAAAATGGAACGAAGGTTACGTTGGCATTGTTGATGACATCGCTGCCGATGTATGCTAACAAATTTGCTATGAAATCAAGCAAGGAAGACTTCGAGTTTTTGGTTATCCCTTTGCGATTCTTACCTACTAATTAGTAAGAAAGCTTTTTTATTGCTAGTTCAATTTGCCAGAACCTATCTGTGCGAATATATTTTTTCTGATCTTGTTACCAACAAAGCAAATCTAGGAACCGTCCTGATGTTGACGGTGCCTAATATAAGGAACCTAGTTAGACAGTCCCAAGCGGCAAGCGCAAGATTTCTATTGATCAACGTCAATTTTTTCAGAATGATGAACAGGGGGGCCACGAGCCGTAAAAGGTTGAGAACCACTGGTGTAGAGATTATTTTGGATTACCGGGCAGCTTCTGCGTAGGGTGGTAAGCATAACCGCTGGTTGGTTATGGCCTCCTAAACTACCAGGTTGCAATAATAGTACCGTATTTGGACAGAACATCGCAACACATTTAAACTGCATGCCTTCTGTAACGCACGGATTGGAGTCTCGAAACTGCGCTACTTTTATACCCAACCACTGTACCAGGTCCCGACTCTCCTACAATTTGCAACGCAAACCCGTAACAATCAGTCCCCACTCACAGTCTTGAACTTTTGAACTCCAACACCTCAGAAGATCACTATGGTGGCCCATCGTTGTCACGCGTAAAATTAAAAAAAAAATGAAAAATAAATAAATAAAAAAGAGAAAATAAAAAAAATAGTTGTATAGTTGAGAGTGTTTGAGTAGTCTATATTCTACGAGACTATCCGTATCTCCCATTCTTTCATGAGTGATTGCATGGGTACCGGTACGGTCAGACGGTACCGTACCGGCATTGCACGAGTGTCCAGACAACTGAGCAGTTAAGCAGCATTTTCCAATTAAATTACCTTATACACGTAAAAACAAGTTTTCGTATTCAATTTATATTCTCTTATCATTAATATAAATATATTGCTTGTGGTTGAACTTGTAGCATGGAGAATTTATAGAATTTTTTTTTTAATTTTTTTTTTTTTAGTTTATTTTTTCCGTTTTTTAATTTTTTTCGTTTTTATTTTTAATTTTTTTTTTTAATTTTAATTATTTTTTTTATTTGTTTTTTTCAATTATTTTTATGTTTTTTCACAACTATTTTTTTATTTTCGCTTTTTCATTTTATTTTTTTTTTAAATTTTACGCGTGACATAGTCATAGTCATAGTCAATTTTATTTTTTCCAACCAGCAAAAAAATAACATACAAAATCAAAAGATAAACAAAATTTAACACATATTTTTAGTGGGGAAGGGAAGCCGTGGGGAACCAAATTTGGTTATCGAGCAGCGACACCCAACGATGGGCCACCATAAAAAGTACGACTGGTAAATTTTGTATTCTATGGAAATTTTCTGAAATATTGGGGACGGGGAGAAATATTATTTTGACTACGTAGAAATGCCATTATTGCCGATTTATTCAGGTATTTAGTATCAGTGTTTTCTTCCAAAGCTGAGTTACGTGAATTCTCAACACTGAGTATTAGAGAGATTACCAATTTGCGGAGTTTATAATTATTATTATTTAATACGAAAGTAACACGGACACGATATTAAATTAAAAGCATAAAAAAGTCAACTATCAGCTTCACAAATATCGCACTCCGGGGCCAGTAATACTGTTCGCTTGAAATTGGGACCTCAATTTACAAACTGTGATACAAATCCTACAAAAAAGATAAAAAGAGCATAAAATTAATTTGTGTTGTGAATGCACTCTTCAATAGTTGTCTTTGACATCGTCGCCAATGTGAAATCAAATTTATGTTCAAAAAATAAAAACCAAACTGCGATATCCGCCGTTGCATGAGATTTAATATTTACTAGTGCTGAATAAAATTGCTTTATTGTAGTGTATCATCATCAACTGGAATGTCAAGCCGCCGAAAGGATCACGGTGACAAAAATATTTACTGCAGCCTTAGATTATGACAAAATTAGGAAATGAAAATCGCTGCATTGTTGCGAAGTTTTCAGTCTTAAAGTAAATTCCGAAAAATAAAATTGTCACGGCGATCGTTTCGGCGGCCGACATCCCAAATACGGTTGTTCATTTAAAAATCAACTTGTTTAACAATAAAATCCAAGTATTAGTTTCACATTTAATGCATTTGATCGGCGCTACATGCGAGCGTGTTTTTGTACTTATAAACGATTTTGACGCTACCGACATCCGCGAGTTACACTTCTCTCAAAATTAATTTTCAAGATTGCTAATGTTTTATTTTCAAATGCGGGTTCTGCTGACTACGAATTAATGGTCGATATTTGAAATAGGACTTGCAAAATATTCATCATAAACCGCCAGGCACATAAGAGGCGGGCTACACGTAACTGTGGAATTTCGCTGTGAACGACGCATTCTTTTCAGTTTAATAAACGGCCTACGTCGTCGTGAATTGCACTTTGGGTGCTCTGTTTTAATTTCACCGAAAATTTTGGCTGCGCCCATGTCGGTACCTATCCGATATCAACCCGGCTGTATTCAGGCACTGATAAACCAAGTCATAATTTGTCACCCATGTCATCAATAACCAAAACTTTTGTGCTTGCTATTACCAGAAAGTTCATGTTGAATAAAAGTGCGACCTGCGGTTTTACTCAGTTATCTTAATCTGGTCCTCCTGTATTAAATGTTGCACACCCTTGATTTTAACTACTTAAATTGCTTTGCAACCTAGTTCTTCGTTTGATATTTATCATGGTTTTTTCGATTCTCGTCATTTTTTTCTGTAAATTTAGAGCAATAAGAAAATAATTCAGGTAGTTTGTAGACTAATATGATATGTAAAAGTTAATAATGTCCCGATTTTATACCAATTTATTTTTATTTCTATGTTAAGTTTCGTATTTTTTTCATCTTCAAGTCATTCGTACTTAATGATACTAGCCCACTTGAAAAAATACCACAATCACAATTTCCTAAATTTTTGTGATCATATATTTTTGTCATGTTTTTGATGGAATCAGTCTATACTATAGCTAAAGATAGTATAATTTATTACGTAATTTGTCTACAAATATCTCATTCATTGGGGGCACGTTTTTCAAACTGGAAAAAAATTCATCCCTGGCGAGCAACTTTGTCCTTTTGAGAAGGAATCGGCTTTGTATTTGCTGTAGCATTACTGATTTCCCAAAGTTCGCTCTGCCTACTATAATACAATGCACACATTCAATTAGAAAATACTGGAACTGTACAAAATCGGTTTTTCAACTAGGGCAATAAACAAAGATCTAAGGATTAAATTAATACAGTAGTTTTTATGCATAGTGGGGGAAGAATAAAAAGGTTGAAAGATTTGATAAGAAAGAAGTTTAACGGATAAGGTTTGGAATCACATGTCTTTTACACCTACATATTATTCATCAAATGTTTTATCCACATGTACAATATGTATTTTGTCCACATGTTTCCCATTTATCATACATACCATTTAACAGATGTTTTGTCCACCAACAGCTCATTCGTGAAATGCTGTCTTTTCATACATGTCGTTCGGGGGTTTTGTCCACATATGACTCATTCGCCAGATATTTCGTCCATATACATCTCGTTTCCCTGCTGAAACAACAGCTCATTCGCGAAGTGTTTTCTCTTCATACATTTTGCCCAGGGGTTTTGTCCACATGTATCTCATTCGCCGAATATTTTGTCCCCATGTCCCGTTTATCATACATTTCATTCACTAGATATTTTGTCTATATATATTTCCGTTTCCCTCATAAAACAGTCGCCGTGATTATTAGTCGTTAAAAAAACGACTTTTTCAGTGAGACTCTTCTGTGGCGTATAATATTCAATCCATGGTAATTAACTTAATTGTGTCTGACGTAACTCGCGGTGGCGATTTTAAAAATACATTGCCACTCTGAAAAAAAACAGATGTAATATGCGGACATAAACACATGAGATAAACTGTCTAATTATATTTAGTTTTGATAGGTATGTTTGCAATCTTGCTAATTCGTTATCGCCGTTAGGAATCCGTATTTTTGCCATTTAGCGAATTAGAGAAATCTGTACTTGTAACACAGATCCGCTCAATGCTGCCACTCAGATTATTTTTAAAATATAACCGTTATAATCTCACGACGTAAAATCTATTTTAGTACAATGAAACTCGATTGGATTAATTAATTTATCATCATAATTAATTTACCATCACAAACCGTTAAGTGTGACATGTGAGACAAGTGGGACAAATGACACATGTGGTACAAGTAGTAAACGTGGGACAAGTGGTACACGTGGGGGCAAGTGGTACACGTGGGGAATGTGGGACACATGGTGCAAGTGGGACACACGGTACAAGTGGTGCACGTGGGGCAAGTGGGACACGACATTTTTGAGACACCGGTGGGACAAGTGGTGCACGACATTTTGGAGACACCGCTATAGTTAAGCTCCTCTGCATTAGTCCTATAATTCAAAATAAATGCGCAGGTTATAGTGGCCAAAGTATGCAAAAGAAAACAGTGTCCCAACGTTCCCCTATAACAAATAAAAAAAATTGAATGACGCTAGATTAGTAAATGTTCCAGTAATATACACGACGTTATTGGTTTATTGAAGTGTGCCAATATGAACAATAATGGCCCCAAATTGAATATATTTACATATAAATCATCCGAAACAAGATTGAATTTGATCAATCAAATTGAAAATCATTGTTTTGATTGGTGCCCGTTTGAACCCACGACAATTGCACCTGCATATATTGCACCTATGGATTTTTTGTTTTTGTTTTGCGGATATTTGAACCCATACTAACCCTGACCCAAGGGTTTTAACACCCGCATATAGATTGAACCCGCGGATATACACATGGGTTCAAATGTACGTGGGTTCAAATGTACGGTCACTGTTTTAATTTTTGTTTAGGGATGTATCAAACTGATAAGTATATAAGAAGAGTCCATGTACGACAAATCAGGATAGTAGTTTTCTTGTAATCTCGATGTCAAAGTTTCACTTTCTGTCTTGGATAGCCGAAAACTGAACTTATCTGTTTACCATCTCGACCGAAGGTCACGTTCGTGTATACAGTTTTGAAAAGCTCTCAGTTGAATTTCATGAAGCGGCACCATTTAAAAGCACGCAGTAATGTACAGTTATCTAATTTGAACCAGTTTAATAATGCTGCTATAGACAAAGCAGATTTAACTATATCACTTGCCGGCTACATGGTTTGTTCTTGAGATTCGTCCAGAATGAACACTTTGTTCTCGTATATATACTCATTCTCTGTTTGAACGATTTCACGATCCCGAAGCTTAATGTTCTGATTTTCACAGCTTGAAATAGCTTCATCTCTGGCATTATCCACGGTTATTTTATCCCCCTCCCCGTTCTCGTTGTATTGGTTGCCGTTTTTTGACGCGGTGGTATTTTTAATGAATGCGATGCTTGCCCACGCCATTTTATTTTCGGTGATTCAACTTCTTCAAAAACATCATCCAGCGAAGACATGCTCGCATCTCGTCCAATAGCATCTTGTTTTGCATGTTGATGCATTTGTTCATGTACAGCTTTGTTGTCGTGAATTCCACAGCATTTGGAAAACAGGTTTTTGTATTTTGTTAGAATTCTTTTTTGGCAAATAAATGCCCAGAAAATGAAAATTCCCTGCAATGGCACCGAAAGTTCAAAGACTACCCATATGATTATCAATTGAGTGAAGGCTGCTGCGAAACCAATTATCCACGTGAATCCCATGACTGTTGACATTTTTATGTAAACACCAATATTTGAACGACTTGGCATCGAAGATACTGATACACGTCTTCCGGATTCCTTCTGTTATATCCATGTTCTGAACTCTCGTTGTTTGGATTTGGGTTGAAATTTCTGCTTTCATTTTTCTTACAGTTGATGTGGTCACTTGATAAACTGCTACTTTCTTTGCGTGATCTCGGCAGATTTGTCTGCCGAACTATTGAAATCAGTTGTTGACTTGGATCGTTTATACTTGTTGCATTTGGCTCCAATCTCCACATCTCGGCACCTGACTTCGTCGCTCACTGACGCCAGTTTTCTTTGGAAACGATTATTTTTACCAACATTTCGATATGGAGCTTTTGCTGATTTGCGAATCGCAGCAATTGATAATCCGAAGAATACAGCATTGATAAATATAATACAGAGAACAGGAACACCAAATACGACAATGTTAGCTGTCGAGTTCGATATCCAGCAAATGCCATATTTTTCATCTCCACGGTATCCGACCGATACACTTACCGCACAGAATTCAATTGCCACAGTCACACCGACGAACAATGCAGGAAGCCCCCATGCGTATGCCATGTATTTAAGAATCGTCGTTTTTGCACCAAAATGATTGCCGGTTGTATTCGTTCTATTTTTGTACTGATCTCCTGAGCGCATTTTTCAAACCTTAACATCAGAATAAAAATGATTAAAATTCAGTTTTGAAATGACATTTCAAGTTGAAATAAAAGAAAACTGACCTTTACCAAATGTTCGCCAAACATCGAAAGCCATAACATTATTCCAAAAAAATATTGTAAGGAATAGAAAATGAAGCAATATCGATACAGCCGTGCATACTGCTGGATTTGACGTCAACTTTGCTCCAAACATAAACAAAGCAATTGATGTAAATTGAGCCACTGCTAAATTCATGATGCAGCAACCACCAACAGTACGTAAATCCCTAAAAAGTAATTTTATGGGTTGTTGTCATTTCGGTCTTTTTTTGCAAACTCCACGGTAATTTTTTTGACCATGACTTAGTTTATTACTGTATACAATTATATGAGAAGCTAAAGTCATGAATAAGCGTCATGTTAAAATAATTATCAAGTTGAATATTTTTGAACCGTCCTACCATTTTTTGAGTACACATGACTTGCGTACTTTTCTCCAACAGTAACAAATTTAATTTAAGAATAATTAATTATTATTAAAATTCTTTTACTAAAATTGCTAAACGAAATTAGAGAAATGCGGTTTTAGGACAGCTGTGATGCTTTAATTACCTCAACATCATTTTCAATATGTTAGTGGGCTAATCAAACCCTAGACGACTATTAATAATAACGATTATTTGTTTATTTTGGCTTTTTTACAGCACCCACAACCATGGAATTGGATGAACAACCCAAACATTTTCCGATCGAAGTCAAGGAATCATTTTTGAATATGAAATATTATTTAGGCAATTCGGTAAGAAGGGGATGGAAAATTCCATTCTTAGATACGTTTGTTCAAAATAAGCTTCTGGGTCCTAACTGAAATTAGTAAAAAATATATTTACTACTGTGAGCGCTGGCTTCATAAAGATTTGTACTCAATATTTCGCAATGAAACAATATTTAACGCCATGTGCGATGCAGAGGATTCATCGAAAAATAATGGCTTTGTAGATATTATAAGGTGACTGCAATACAAAATAAAAACCCAAATTGTCATATTTCTTACCGAAATATCAAATATGTAATGAACGTTATGGCAAGTGCCAGAAGTGACATCATTGATAACCCGAAGGTTATCCAAACAGCAACATTCATCCACTGTGCTGTAGACTCAGTAACGACTCCGGTTGTCGAGTTGATACCTGTTTATTCATATGAAACTCAATAGTGTATGTATTGTATAAAATTTGAATTAACGTTTAACTTTATTTCAAAGATATCTTGAATCTTGATAACTTTTCACATGCTACGCACTACCCGCATGCTAACACATTTAGTTATAATAATTTCTGATTACGTTGATGCACTTCTATCTCTATAAACTTTGCAGTGTGGGAGTATATGACTAGAAATAAAACCTGCGAGCTAAGAATCAGTGCATTATTTAACATGCTATCGGCGTTTATTTTTATAAGATATCTTCGTCTTGTATATATTACCCTCAGCAATTATCATCAATCAAATGTTCCCCTTCTAAGTCAAGTAACTTGGTTTTGTTTTGTAATATCAATAAAAAAATTCGCATAAACGTAACAGCATGCTATGATTGTTTTGTCAGTGGCAACCGCGATCTTCGATCACGTCTACAACTTCAGAATTCGTACCTGATAAATATTTATCACCACACACAGCATAAGAATCTTCGTATGATATATATTCTTCAGGCGGAATAGTGATATTACGTTCGATCAGATACAAGGAATCGTTTTCTAGCTTCACATATTCAGACTGATTTAATGGAATGTAAATTCCGCAATCCTGAATCAGCTCATCCTCTATCTGAAATTGTTTCATATTGAAATATTAGTTGAATCTACATGGACAAGGCAAACGCTGTGTCAATGATTTTGTCAGAACAGAAAAAGAGCAATGATTCAGACACTTTAGATCAGTTGTACTCAAACCACAAGTGGGCGTAGACATTTTTTTGAGGGGACGTAAAGCTAATTAAAAAATGAAAATATTTTTTAGCTTTGATCTTGCCCGCCTTATTTTGGATATTTATTTACATTTCTTTATTTTGGATATTTACTTGCCATCCACGTATTTTCAACGTGGTTTTCAAGTGAAACGCCCTGCTATCTGTTATTTGCAGCTTATTGTTAGCTAGGTATTTTTGAGATGGGGGCGCGAGACTTGACAAATTCTAAAAAAGGAGCGCAGCTTAAAAAGTTTGAGAAGCACTGCTTTAGATTATTAGCGCAAGCGCAGTCCTTGCAATATTCGTTGCTAATTTTTGAAGAAACTATGTATTAGGATATTCCTTCGATATTCTTCTTGAATGTCTGGGTATGCAACACAAAAACGTTTCAAATATATTCAGCATATTTCTTACTTTTGCGCATACAACAATCCTTGAGTCATCAACGTAGGTTCTCACTGTGTCGTTTTCACTGATTTTAACAGTCCAGTCTAAAAACTAAAATGTGAAAATAAAAATTTTATTTGCTTCCTTTTAAGGGTACTTGCCCGCAATACTACAACGAAGTTTTGAAATCAAGAATGTCTGTGTTTCATACCTGATATTCTGATTCCGGATAGTATTCGTCCGTGCTGTTTATATAAGCAATTTTTCTGTTTTCCCATAGTATTATATCATATTGCTCGGCCGTATACTGAATTTTTTTAGTTCCTTCACTGCATATTAGTGGTAGATGTCCAACAAGCGGTGTACTCAGTACAACAACGATCATCAAATCACACTCTAGTAACATTCTTTGGAACTGTACGAGATTGTTTACTTCCTCCGCAAACTGAAAATTTTAAGATAAAACATTTAAAAAACAGGCTTCTTCTATTGTTTTGGAACATTAGGTTCGGTTATATCAATCAACAAACATCTTTATCTCGTCTTATCCCGCCAAACTAGGATCAGGAAAGAATTTCGCATATTGTATAGAAGCAAATACGGCAATTTAAGTTTGTCAGTAAGTAATTTACAGCTGGACAGTTCAATTTATTATATTTATGTTCGTGGTTTTGAGTAGCCCTTAGTATTCAAAAATTTTATTTACCTCAATTATTTCTTCATCTGTATATTGTTCCGGCTCTATAAGCGCAAATGTGAAAACTATTGAGTAGGTTTTCACTTCATTTGATTTTTCACTCCCTGATGCCGCAGTTATATTATTTGTAGTATCGCTGGGAGAGCCTAATAATGTTATGGAAATATACATATAAAGCAAAGAGCCTCGAATAAATTGCTGCAACGCGTAAACACAAGAAGGTGGTGGAGATAAATTTTGCATGCTGACTAAGGTAAGTTGGTATAAGCTATTGTAGCTCAGGTTAAACGGTGTCGAGTCCCACTTGTCCCATACTTGTTTTTCTTGAAATTTTTTAACACACTTGTTCCACTTAATCCACACTTATCGTTATACATCTATTTTTACCCTTGTCCCATAATTATCCCTCTTGTTTCGTTTTCAACACAATTGTCCTGCTCAATCTACACTGGGGCCTATACTTCCACCTATCTCATACTTGTCACAATTGTCCAAATATTCTGGGCTTAAGGTAAACATGGAATAAGGGGGGCATGACATTTATGGAGCACGCGTGTTAAAACGTTTGCGCGTTTTCACATCCAAATGTCGTATACTTTATTCATATATACATCTATTATGGACTTAGGATACAATTGGACGAAATTTGAAATATGACAACTATTTTGTTTGTTGAAAAATAGCACAGTACATAGGCCCCTAGCCCCCTACTAAAAAAACGTCATGATACGTGATGGAAATCTTTGTCATAGTTATTGAGTCTGTACAGCCGCCTAAATACAATAAATTTTCGATATATATATATATATATATATATAAATTGATGTGCGTTCAGGGAAATATCGATTTTTTTTATAATTCGTATGCACTATATTTTAAAACTTTCAAATTTAAACAGCGACTAAAGCAGAGGGTTCTTGGGTTTTATATCCTTTCAAATTTCGATTGCCTCCATTGGACTGTTTTCCAATGATTAAAATGGAAATAATCAATAAAGAATATTTACTTATAATTGTGAAGTTCTGGACGGTGACATTGGTGATGCTAACGTTGTATAACGTCGCAACAGCAGATGTCATCTCTGGTGTCAGGGTGTATCTGTACTCGTTTTCTGAATCATTCATTTGTATATATTGTGTTGGAACTTCGATCGTCAAGGTCACGGTTGCAATGAGAGGGATCCGGGTATCATTTGTTCCGGAGTGAATATGTCCATTGTCACTGGTTTTTATTGTAGGCGAACAGCTGAGTATAAATCAATACGTTATGTATAATGGAAAGCACAAAGTAAGGTTTTTCAGCGTATTACGTTCAATACGTTGTGTAAACTTGACACATGCCGGGCGAAAATCCAACATTTGTCGAATGACATGGCATAAACCTGCAAGAACTTAAATAAATGCTATGCGGACATCCGTTGTTAGGTGATAGTTTTTCACGATGTAGATATACACTGGGAAAGAATGAAATGAGGCGCTATCAAGACTAACCTGCTGTCGTGGTATGTTTGATCGGGCTGGCAAAGGACTGGCCTGCATGATGCATAAAAAGGATCATAGATTTCTCCGTGGTGACAAGTTGTATCGGGAGTTATTGATTTTGAGGTTGAATTGCCTTCCTCCGTATAGTCTATTTCGCATGTTCCGTCTTTACGAAAATGTAACACCATAGAGAAGGACGGAGGTGTCTTTTAAGAAGAATATAAATAACGTTGTATATTATATACCTTGTGTTCCGGTGTGTTACATACACATCGTTCATTTAGTTTTAAAAGTCATTTGTATATTTACCCAGCGGCTTTTCATATGGTTGCTGTTGCTGAACGTTGGCAACATTGACTTAGCTTCGTTTGCCACCGATATCACCCAATATGGCAGATCATAATATGTCATCCACATCCATACAGGGCATTCTAATTCCGGATAAGTTTTCTTTTCTGGGTCTGTTGTAATAAAATAAATATATACTGGAATCAAATTGAAAAAAATATGATTTTGTGATATATATCATTTTAATAATTAAAATTTTATTTAAATAATAATAATTTGTGATATATGGGTCAGCAAGTTAACCAAGATGGCGGACACCGGAACGTAGTATGTGTACCAGGTTAGGGTTAGGCCATAATTTTATTCCAATTTTCTTTATTTTTGTTCTATTACGAGTTCGGGGACTAGCCAAGTGATTCCCCGTAGTATTTGTACCTGGAATTATGGCCTAACCCTAACCTGATCTGATTAACATCTAATCTTCGATAACAGTTAACATGCTAATAAAGCATCAACGGTATCGCAAAAATCTTAAATGGAATTCACTAAACAACAGGGAGATTTTTGTCACAATTTCTACAGAAATTGAAATAAATCTTAGTTAACATGCATTTTTCCTCACCAGAAGCGCCGTACGTTCTTACTGGTGGATCATAACAAATGGAATAGACGATGTTGGGCATCTCCCAAGATGAGAATCTCCGATTTTATTGAATTAGAATTTCTTTAATTAACATTTTCTTTGTATTGTCTTTAATTTTATTAATTATACACAATTTGTTCGCTATAAAGAAGATCCTATAAGTGCTTACTCAAATGTGCCTACTCTGTGGGTCAAGTATTCATGAGATGTCTCGTAAATTTCGTTATTGCGTTCCTGAGAGACGCGGCTATCGGGTAGTTAACCTCACTTATTAAGTATAGTGAATTGACCTCCAGTATGGTTCACTACTAAGGAACATAAAATTTATATTTTTTTAAAATGAAATTAAAACAAACCATTCAAATTCTGCTTCATGGAAGTCCATACAAGATCGTTTATTGTGACGGGATATTCTTGTCTTCGTACTTTCGGAGCTGGATTGGGCAATGGGACCGGTTGAACATCATTATAGATTCTTCCTATTCCATGACAATAAGCACAAATTGGATTTTTAAAAATCATATGGTTTGCTTCTCCGTTGACATACTCTAAACATACAGTTGAAAGAATAATTATAACTTTTGTTGCTCGGTTAAAACATTTTCAGATATTGGCACAATCAATGAAATGGGTACACGTTAAAGTGGCGCCCGATTGGTGCGAGAAGGTGTGGTGGTTGCGTTTTAGACAGGCTTGAAGCAGAAAAGAAGTTTTCAACATGCAAATATATAACAAATAAAACTTCTATACAGCATATAATATGGCAAGTGTTCTGATCTGAAAACTGAATGATGGAAAATAGTGCCGGAATGGAAGATCATTTCATTAATCTACGAAGAAAATATTTTATGCTAGCTATAAGTGGGAATTTATAAATATATATATATCATTTTGGATGACAGTGTGCATTCCATTATTATCAATACCCACCTCTGTGAATCACCACTGACTGATAATCCTCACATAACATTTTAATAAAATCATCCTCATAATCATCAGGGCATCTGCTAATCATATTTTTATCGCATCGTCTCACCGGAAAATTCCAGATGAAATCGATGTTGTGCGGTTTAGTATCAGACGAATCTTAACGAAAAAAAATGTTTACTTCAAATTAAGAATATTCTTATAAGCATTGCCGTTAACAGCTCTCATTGCAAAAAACGATTAGTGCTTACTGCAGGCACAATGTGAATGTTAGGTAATAAAAGAGGAAAATGAGTTATGCAGACAAAGTTTGTTTACAAAGCCAGTTCCGAACGTGTTTTGATATCTTTTTTTTCTGGTTTGAAAATGAAGGTAAACATCAAAGTCAGTGTCGAAATAGAAATAGTTGAAATATAAGCCAACTTTTTGGGTTATTTACCTTGAGATTGGTTTACGTCTTGAAAATCTGAAATTGTTTCGTCTAAAGGACTCAAGTCTTGAAACAGCCTGATATTGCAAAAATGTAGTAGATAATAAGATATCATTTCTGAATTTCCGGTTAAAACCTGTGTTAAAAGTCAAAATAAATTTGTAGTAAAAGTTCTCAAGGCTACATCTACCAAGGTGCCGGTTTTTCTGTAGAAATCAGAATTGAAACATAAATGGATGACCTTGGAATGGTGAAACAATTCGTGTTATGTAATGGCACTATGTCAGTTATACGTATTTTCCAGCACTGGCTATGCATAGGGATATAAAGATATATTATTATTTTTATACATGTGTAAATTTCAAACAGCAACAAGTTTTAAATCAACCTTTCTCTACATGATGTATATATATATATATATATATTCAATACAGTTTTATGGTAATTGTGGCTATTCTACAGTGTAGTGAAATCAGCTTCAAAATTTATTACCTCCAGCAGTGTTATATTACATAATTGAAAATTGGTTTGTATATACATAATTTGAATATATAAAATAAATCGAAACTGGAACTCACTTCTTCGGGTGCGTTCTGAAAACATCTTGCGTCTACACGCCAATATAGAAAATTTTCAACATGATTACAAAGAGCGCAGAATGCGTTTTTATACGTCCAACCCGTGTCTCCTTGGACTGGTAGAAGAGTTATAAAATCAGACTTTTCCTGTTACGGGAAATATTTTGATAGCGTTTCATAGAAACCACTATAGTCAAAATTTGATAGCTTAATAAAATTTGAGGAATCATCAAGAATTTGAAGTATTCTAGATAAATACCTGAAATATGGTCTCATGGGGTCAGAAAACAGACCTCGCACCAGAGCAAGTAAAGTTTGTCCGTACTAACGACTGAATTCTACATATACAGTAGCCATTCCTATTTGATACCAAATACCTGGAATTATTCATATATATTTCACTTTGGGATCTACATGCGTAAAATAGTGCAGATTGGTACATGTACTACATGCAGGCTTTAGAATTTTTGTTGTTGCGTACAAGCGTTTCCATACCTTCGAAAGCCGCAATCCCGCTGACATTAGGCTTACTCCATTCAAACTTACCGATAAGCAGCTGGTTTTGATATCGTCATTGGGCCATGTTGAAGCACAACGCGTTACCACCCAGAAATATTCCTTAGAATACTGATCGACCACCACGCATTCGAAAGCTTTAGAATTTGGTCTTGCACCAGGTTTTGCACCGTGTATAGGCGCCCTAGATTTGACTGAAAAAATACTCACAGTTTAACATTTGATGGCAAGCAACATATAAAGCAATCAACGTTCGGGGTATTGAAAATGTTTGGTAACTGGCCACCAGACATAGATCTTCATTCGACGCATTTCTCACAGTTTTCATATATTATGATGACGGTTGCAGAAAAAGTAGAATTACCTTACCTGAAGATCGTTTATTGTCTTGCGTTTGAATGCCACCTATGTTGTTGGGTATACATTCATCGTAGTAGTCCCAGCAACAATCACTGTAAAGAGTATGGCATATTAATGATATGTTCGGTGTGCAATATATATTAATTATCTCAGATTTTAAGGCCATACCCGAAAATTTTATATTTGACTCTGTGTTTTACGAAATTACGGGAAAATGATTGTGTTTTGTATCGAAAGACATGTGAAGGTCGCAATAAGCAATGAATAAATCTAGCAAATTCGGCGTGTGCATCTGACACGCTCGTTCTGAACTGCTGACTAACTTCCCGATATCAAAGTTTCCGTAGAAAAGAGACAGATATGGCCAATGTTAGCAGACTTAAAAAATTATACATTACAAAAAAATATTTTTAGAATGCATAAACTGTTTCCCGAGTTGAAGATCATTTCGTATAACAAACTTACCCAAAAACCATACAATCGGGATCACAATAACAATTGAATTGCTCAGTTTCCGCAATGGTATCAGTTCTTTCTGGATAATCCAAGCATCTGCTTTTGCAAGTATCATATCTAATACATGGTTGCAAACTTATACTTCTTCCTATCTCGTCAATGTTCCAATCAGTAGTCAGTATCCCAAGCTTTTCTTTCAAACGATCAACTGTGTTTTGCGAAATATTTCCATGCGGCAAAAAGTTACTCAGGTCAGAACGATCAAACTTTCCGACTTCACTTTGGGGATCGTCTGTAGCCCAAGAAATCTCCAAGAAAGTCAAAAGTAAAATGATGACGGAAAAACTCATAGTTAGCAACTCGAATATTTATCGATTGATTTTGACATTCTACTCATTCGCTTATGAGTGGTACTATTGGATACAACAAAAAGAATATATATTTACCTTTCACGAACATTTAAAGTTAAGCCTGATATATATTTTGAACGCCGATCAATGTTAGAATCCACAACGCTTGCCTGGTTTCATTGTGCTTAGTAATATATTCACTTTGTGTGGGATGGTATGACATAACATCGAGATCCTTGATACGCTAGTCACATGGCAAACTATATGTTTCCACTAAATAATCAATGCGTATTCTACATTTGCCAATCATCGGAATAGAATTTTTAAAAACTTTTTTTTTTTCAGAAAAAGTATCCCGGATAGAAAAGAAACGATACGCATCATCTGCGAACAATGTCTCATGTGTTAGATGAAAACGTCATAAAATATTGCTTATCGATAATTTTCTTCCATTGTGCTTACTTGTAAAATGCAATAAGTGAAACCAGAAGACGCGCTTTTTAGCCCCGAATATGAATTCTGAAAGCTAATAAATACTGCACCACTCCCAAACCTCGCATTACATTAAACTTATAAGTAAAAAAGCGGCTAAAATCTGCCCGCTTCCGTCGAGTGGCATCAGAACGACATCGTCACAAAATGATTTTTTGTCCCTTGTTCTTTGTTTATACCAGGTAAATTAGTTAAGGTGAGTTTCTTGTTGTTTCTGAAGTTTGATAAATCTTGGGAAAAAGCAGGTGTTCATCGAGGTGTGTATTTAAGATAGCTTAATGTTTGCATTTAGTGTTCTGGTCGTCCTCGTGACGACCGCCGTTCCAATTAAACTGTGACAAAAATGCTCTAAGTTTACAGTCATTCGAGAGTAATGGAATTTTCTGAAGCAGTTATATCAAATTGCGAAAAAATAGGAAATGACTTTAACCTTAATGAACAGTTAAGCCCTTGCGTTGCAAGCAGGCAACTTTGTGTTGAAAGTAACAGATTAAATGAACACTTATACATATATTCGCGTAAAAACATTTTTCAAAAAGCTGGACCTAACATCGCTGCAGTCGGTTTTATTCACTTTCAATGGCTAGTAATATTATACAGTATAATTAGTTTTATGATTAATTTTTATTACTTTGAAGTTCGGAAAATTACACAAGTTGTGCTCTGAATGCTGGTAAGAATCAATAAAAGTAATTGTGGAGTCTTTACAGGAATTATTGTACTCTGTGATCATTATCATAAGAATACATATGCACACCAATTTAAACAAGTACACAGTATCAACTAAAACCTAGACTGATGGAACAAACATATTTACAAAGGACTACATTGACTTACGGGAACTAATAGAAGCGAGGACTTTTGAAGAAATACATATACTTTCCGCATATAAGATATAAGAAAATGTCTTCTTCCGTTGTCATATTTACACACTCAGCAAGCGAATTCGTTCAACAGTAATATGCCAATAGCTCTGATATAAAAGGTGCAGATAGAACGCTAGTCGGCCTAACATTATGACGGAGTCTTGCTTTTTGCAAAAGTATAAGTGTAGTTTTTAATTCTAAGAACAAAGTGGAGATGTACTCTGATGAGATTCTTCGTCAGTCCATCCACTTTTTACAACTGGCTTCCCAACATCGCTAATCTCAGACGTGATATCAATTTTAAATTGATCAATATTTTTTAAGATATCTTCTAGATGTGGAGGCCAAAACCAGTAATACAATTTCGAAAACCACCGCCACCACCAAATATCATCATTCATCCGTATAAATGCTTTGTCTTCCTTTTCCAGCTGTGTTTTTATTGTTGATCTGAATGCTTCAATGGCCTGATCTACTCCCCAAATTCCCGAATCCATAGCTAAAACATTACAATCAACCTTTTTAACTAGACGAATGCGGACTTTCTCGCAAAAATCCTCTAGATCCTTAATGTATACTTTTTTCATTTCCTGCACAACAAAAATAGGAAATTTATCAAATAATATAATTGTAGAAAGTTAGGGAACTCTATATACACAAACGATCATAAATGCTATGTCAGAACGTATAACAATGCTGGTCCGAGATTTTTGCAACACCGGACGTTGAGGAAACCAGCAATCAATGGTATGTATGGTCATGAGCATGTTCCTTTCTCTACGGGGTGTATGAGAATAATTTTAGCGTATAAAGCGTTGTACAGTATTATGGTAGTCAATTACTCACCGATTCTATTCTTTTTTTGTATTCCTCAAGGAGAATAGAAGATATTTTCCTTTTTAGCTTTTCCACTTTGCACTAAAACAACATTTTAAGCGAATTGTTACACAACTAGAATATACAATTTATCTATTATGATCAACAGCCAATGAAACATACCATCACAACGTCTGTTTCTCGAAGTGGAAAACATCAAAATTCAATTATATGATAAAAAAACTATCTCGCGTTGAATAACAGTAAATAAATTTTAGAGTCGCATTTATTTTACTGTAAAACTCACATTATTATCTTCAGTAAAATCATCCAGTTTGTTTTTAATGCTTTCCTGAAGAAGGTTTCTTCTTCTTTCCAAGCCTTCCGATCTCATATTTCTATCGAATTCTTCCAAAGCTTCTCGCAAAGTGTTTTCCATGACTGTTTTGATTACTTCCATGGGATAATTAAATGTCATACTCTGTATAAATATCAGTGTTCTCAGTTCAATTACTGAAAATACTCTCATCTATGGGTGGAACAAGTATTATGAAAATGTGAAATGAATAAAGCCATGTGATGCAATACTTTTGGGTCAGACTTTTTGATGCATGTTCAAACGTACAATCGCTTGGCCATAATGCCAGTGGTGTCCTAAAAACGCCATGTCCAACTTATCCTAATTGTTTCCCTAGTTATTACATCTATCATAACCCAGAACATAGCGTGAATCTCACTTCATATGCTTATTTTAACTGTTTTGCCACACACAATATATATATCCACCCTGATTTAAAACAGTGGGGCAAGCCATAGGACAATTAGCACGAATAGGATAAGGGTGGGATAAGTTAAACAGATATGGCAAAGTGGAAACTATAGTAAAACGCCATGATGTTATAAATACCAATTACATGAAGTGCTAGTTCTTGACTATTTTTTTATAATACTTTTTTATAAAGAGTGTAATTAATAAATCAATTCACAATCAAAAGTCATGAATCAATTTACTGTTGTGAATAATACAAATTGATTTTGTGATACCTTTAGTGTTTTATCAAAATTTGACAGAGTCAAAGCAGTGCTTCTGTCAATCATTTTCTCTTCTAGTATCTTATCATTGATCTTTTTCAAGTCTTCTTTAGTTAGCCACATTTCGGATTTCAACTTTTCACGAGCTTCACTTGACATATCATCAAACTCATGAGTTTTGTCAAATTTCTCTAGAATATTTGCTGCATGGTCAGAAGAAACTTTTTCCAACTTATTTTCTGTAGAGATGGTCCCGAACAATGTGTCCTCAAATATAACAAGTGTATATACTTTAATACAACTGATTTTATCTTTCTCAAATAGAATTTTTTTAGTGACCCTGCTCCTCGTAATCTAATCTTGTTTCATACCAGTTGCATGGACTTCCACTTTTCACCTGTGCTAAGTTCGAGTCCCCTAAACCTAGAGTCATTAGTGAAATCGAGTGATGTGTTCGAGTCACGGGTAGCATGCTTGAGAAATTTTAATTTTTTCAATATATCATAAATCAATGAATTTTGTTATTTTAAAGACTCATTAAAAATTAGTTAATATTTAAGATATACATTACTTACAGTTTCCAATATTGCACCATAATGATGAGACTCCTCTTTCACTGTCAAATCCAAAAGCTTTTGATTTTGCTAAAACAAAGTAATAAATAATCTTCAGGATTAATGTGTTCAAACTTAATTTTCATCATTACCTTTTACATCATATAGATTGAGATCATATAGATATAGATGAACAAACAAAATGTGATGTTATAGTGTGGAATCCTGACAAGATATTGCAAGAATTGGGTGTCATAATACCAAATAAATGTTAGAGTTAGGAGGATATTTATGTACCACTAAGGAGTTGTATTTCTATTACTGATGTTTAATTTTTTTCTGGCAAGAATTCAGTTACCATAATTAAATGTATCAAAAGCCCAAATATTATTGAAATACCATAAGCTGTGAATGTTCTCTCATAAATGTCTCTGAATAATATTCATAATTTTCCAATATATGAAGCCACTTAGTAATGTACTAAAGGATATTGTAATAAATTGCTGCCCGAGAATGGGCAGTATATCAAAACTGGTAGAAAATGATATTTTGTTATCACATGTTAGTAAATAGAATTAATAGGAATTCAACTGAAAATCAAGTACAATTCCAGTAAATAAATATTACCTTTTTTAGGGACATTTGCTCTTTTTTTTCATTTTTTATTTAATTGACTTCCACCATGACAGAGTTGAAAATTTCTGCTTGCTTGTCAAAACTGAGTTTACATAGTATTTCTTTGCCAGCAATAATATCATTGATTCTTGTTGTTATAACTGCATCAACATCATGCATAGAGCAGAAATCAAAGTCCTGAAAAGTGACTTCAACTTATTTAAGGTAATATATTTTATTTTTACATATATAATTACAATTGGAAATCACAAAACATTTGATTTGAAACTTCATTTACAAAATTGTTGTCACAATTTGAATATATAACTTTATAATAACGCCATTAAAGCCATTTATGTGGAGCAAAAAACTCAAATTTTAAATATGATATGTTCTTTATTGTGCTCTGACTAACAAAGACTTCTTCAATCACTTCTTGCTTATATTGCAGTTACAATGAGCTAAGTTGGTCAAAGTTTTATTACTTTGTTCTGTCAAATGAGGTTTTACCTAATTCATTGGTCAGCGACACTAGATATGATCTTTTCACCAGAGATTCCTATATGTAAGCAATGTTTTTCCTTTTTAATTTTCTTTCACGAATTTAAAATTTGATGTGAATTGGGGAGCTACAATACCAGTTTCAACATATATTTGGTGTTATTTCTGCGCAGCACAAAGGCTATATATAGTTTTCAGTACGTCAGTATTACATGTAATATTTTTATTTCAAACTGTAATGAGAAATGTTAAAGTTACTTTGAGCATTGCTATATTAGAAAATAAGAAAAAAATGGCAAATGCACAAATGTTATAAAAAAAGTTTGAATATGCACATTCCCACTTGATTACAGCAACAATTATTAGTACACACTAAAATAAATATCAAAAAATTTACTGAATATTAACACATTTTTATACTTTTTCCAATTGTTGCTCAATCCAATTCAAAGTATCTTTCTCTACTTCCTGCCTTGAGGTCTAAACAGAATGGAATATGAAGAATAGAATACCAGCATAATAGGTACAAGGTTTAACAAAATTCATACAAACTAAATTGATATTTGAAATACAAAAAAAAAGAATTATTCATAAAGGAAGAATGCCATTATCATAATGTAAATTTTTTTATTCCATGAGGCCTCTATGAAATAGTAAAATGCTAGTTATTATCAATCTTGTTTGTGCATGAAGAATATTAAAATAAATTTACAAAACTGGGCAAACAAATGTTTATCTTCTCCCATGAAATTGTAATTGTAATTGGGGCTACAATGAAATTTCCATCAGTTTCACTGAGTATCTGATTATCCATTATTATGAATATATTTTAAAATAATATTGGAAAAATTGAATAAATTATGAATTGGATCCGAGGTAAACAAATATTGCATTAAAATCCCTATATATTCAAAGAGTTTGGATTTAGAAATGTGAGATAGCTAAGATGAACAATGATTTGAATAGCTGGTTTCACATTTTGAATTAAATCTTTTTCGGTCATACAGTGTGACTTCAATCAATTGAAATGATCTTTTGATTGAAACTGTTTTGCAAAAATTGGGTGTCATAATACCAAATAAATGAAAACTGAAACTGAAATTTTCTTTCTTGAAATCAAACCCTTCAAAAAATCCAATATACTATCGATTTGAATATTCAATATGATTTGAACATTGTTATTTGCTATCAATTTCGTATGACTTTAAAAAATATATTTGAATGATACTTCCAACTTACTTTGATTTTACTGGTGAAGATTTTTTCATTCACAACTGTAAACATTGTATTGCTATATTCCAACCAATATTTTCCAGTTGAGTCAGCTGTTTTCTGTATTGTTGAAATGTTTTTCATGTTATAAATGTCTGCAGCAAACATGTCAAACACTTTTCTTTCTGTAATTGATAAAAAGTCAGTTGCTTTTACTAGTACACTTATTCAAAGGGTCTTTAGTATAGTATCGGTTAGTCAATTAGACTCTTCCCAACCTCTTAAGGATACTAAATGCTAATTTGGATTATTTGCATACAATTTTTAGTTGGGCTGGGCATTTTCCAATATATGATCATTTCAGAATCTGATTGAATATTTTTTTTTCGAATCGAATCTCAAATACTTGAAGATATGTAAATATATTGACTGTATGATTATTTAAAAAATGTTGATTGTTAAATAAGAATTTCATATTTCCATGTTCTGCAAATCTCTACTAATAGAATTCATGTCACACAAATATGATGATTTTATACATTTCATAAATTAATATAAAATATTTAATAGAAAAGATTGGGTTAAATAAAAGCACCTGGAGAAAGAGAACCATCATTAGATTCAGTCGACATTATGTTTTCCGTAATTCTAGGCATCAAAAAGCAGCGGACAGATACAAAATTTTCATGAAGCCATTTTTTATTTCCCAATTGCTTTCTCAGATATTTTTCACCTCCTTCCCATCCATATTCATACTCCTCTTCATTGACCCAGTCGGATACAAGTAGTGTAATATCCTGCCATGCAACATAAAAAATAATCAGGATTTGACCAAAGCAGAACAATGTAGTATTCTGTAAATATTCTGAAAAAAAATTAACTTTTGGCCATACTGACTGATGTCAAATGCTTAAAATACTTGTATTTTAAAATATATCTAATTTGTTAAAATGGAAAACACCTACTTATTAAATGTATACGATTGTTGAATTTGGTTTGGACATAACTTGTTCATTGAACTATTTTTGAACAAAAAAAATTTCCAATTCAGATAAGTCTTATTAATTAGTGAAAAATATACCCATTTCACAGTACTTCAAGAAAGTAAAAGGTAATCAGTCAGGATTATAAAATAAGCATGGGACATAATGGGAAAAATTTGAAATACCCTAACCATGTATCGTCCGTAGAAAGTGGGATCAAACATCTACTCCAATATCAGTGACTATCAAAACTCTAAGGAAATTCACTTATTATTCAATACACTAATTCCTACTAAGATGAAGTCAAATGAAATGTGAATAATGCAAGAATTCAGTTTATGACAAAATGAAAAGAAATTGAAATGAAATGAAAAAAAAGTTCTGACATACTTGAATTATCCTAATGCGACCCAATGTTACTGCTAATGACTTATACCGTACTTAGGAATCGCTATGATGATTAGAAATCGCTATGATATATAATTAGCAAAGAATATTTGACTTGAGATATCAAGATATCAACTATGAAAAATGGACAAAAACACGGGTCGCTTTTCAGTTATAAATAAATACAGGCAAGATATTCAAAACTGAGTCTAAATTGAGTCACAATCTTGAGGGAAGTAATTTTGCAATTTTGACAGATTAAATCCAATTTTATTTTAAATAAAAAAATTAAGTTTCTAAAAATTGTTATTCAAGTCAATGTTTCAAATCTACAATTGGGTGATGACATCCAACTTAATGAAAATGAGTTCACTCATCCCATATCCCCAACCAACATTTTAATATTTAGTTCTATTTTATATATACGATATGACTGGCATAATGTTTCAATTACACCATTCTAGTCAGCATTACATCCATCATTGCACTTTTCTGACAGGTAACTTGAATTGCAATGGTGATCATGTTTATCCAGAAGAGTTTTGTACTTTTCTACAACAGGCATGTACTTCCTTATATCAGTAATGCTAACTTGATAATAAATAATGATTGCTGAGAATGTGATAATGTTAATTACTTTAAAGATCTTTTGTATGTTATTTTCTTCCTTCTCCACTTCATCTTTTTGCTTTTCAATGGTGTCAAGTAAAAATTTTCTTGTTTCTTCAACCCGCTATAACAAATAATTGTGTTACCTGATTTCTGTTATTCTCATGGAAAAATGTGATTTTTACTAACTTTCATAATTCCAGGAACTTCTTCTAAATATTTAAACGAGAATATCGGTCAGAGACCGAAGACTTATCGATCGAAAGTTAGGGGATTCCCCAAAACAGCGCTCTTATTCCATAGTGACACCTGTCCCATCATTGATTAATTAATAGCTCGCTAATTATACGACATAATTCATCCAAAATCAATAGGCTTCTGGTACGACATATGATGAATGCACATGCAAAATCTGGAGCAGATTCAATCTCGCTTTCGTGAGATATCGCGTGCATCTAACAGACAGACAGACAAACAAACAGACAGACAAATACCTATCAACATACTTACCAATTAAAATCGATAAGTAATTACTAAACTGTGCATATTTTTTTATTAACAAATAGTTAATTACTAGAAGTAACACTGGCAAATAAACTGTTGGCATATTTGATTCTTCGAAAAGTTCATATGAAAGTTAAAATGAACAACAATATGTGTAATGAAAATTACCTTGTCTCATACTTATTCCTCTAATGAAAACAATTGGTGTTTCGTTTTGAACATTGCAGCTCAAATTGGTACTTGATATTACAGACAATGAAATTTAAAATGCCACTAAATGGGGACTGCAAGTGGACATACTTTTGCAATATACCTATTATTAATATATATTGGAGATTATATTTATATCCTAAGTTGAGACTCAATTATCTGTTATCGAGAAATGAAATTAACTCTGTGCAATTCTACAGTCAAATCAACTAGTGGATTCAATTATGTCCATAGTAGTGTTCTGAGTAATAAATCCAAAAAACTAATACCAGAGGGGAAATATTCAAACAAATAATTTAAATAGCTCAGTTCAACGTTCGAATAAATTCTAGTGAATCAAAGTAGAAAGTGTCAAATCCCCAAACACACTCTCAATTTATCTATCTTTGTCTGAAAAATATCACTTATGTGTAAGTTTTGTTTTGAATTACAAAATTGCTTTTGCAAACTTCCAAAATGTTATCAACATACAGTATGTCTTGCTCTAAAGGTAATGGGTTACTCTGTTATCACCAACTGATAAACACATTAGTTTTCCATAAAATTTATTGCCCTATAAAATCAAGCTGGATATCAACTATTTGTAGAAAATGTAATGACAAAAATTCTTCCCAGATCTGCTAGTTTTACTTTCTACACTCAGCACCATTCCAGGCAATGCACTTATGTTAAATGGCATGTGTATGTATATTTTTCTCAACTAGCAAAAGACATCTTGAAATATTAAAATTATGATTAATATAAGCATAATTAAAGATGAAACAGTTTGCACAGTGAAGTAGTATGGGGTAAACTACTATAGATCAGTAACAAGACATAAAAAATATTGACATACTTTCACCAAGTTTTGTGGTGAGGCGTTAGACATTCGAAGACTTTTTTCTTCAACTTCTTCCTTTAAAGTTATTGCATACTCAGTAAACATTTACAAAACAAACATTGGAAAATTGGACAAAATCATTTAGGAAATTTATATCAATATATTTTATGCAGTAGAGACTTGATGGTGAAAATGTAGTAAAATTGTGTTGTCTTAACTTAGGAATGATGGGAATATTATTTTCTGATTCATTTGGAAAATCTGGTCAAGAAAGTCTACTAGTTTCACTGGTTTTCAATTTTCAGGATTTTAACAGTCAATTGGTATGCATAATATGTTTGGAAATGATTTCTTTGCCATCCAGATGAGCAACACTCTGTTCAGACAATTTTAAACATGGAAGTTAGAAGGACTATTTTTTTAACCCTAATCCCACACTATATGTGAAGTAGTAGACTGAATAAATTACATAGATAGCAATGTATATTTTCAAATTTGCGCATCCCAATTACCTGTAATTGATCAAAATCATTGGAGTTGATCTCTCCTGATAGATTATACAATAATGTCGAAGACATCAAAAGGCTCCAA